ACTTTGGATGCGGATTATGCATTAGCTTTGATTGCATGTGTATAAAGGATCTGTATTAATGTTTAATGGTATATGGAATATGTAGGACATATTAATCCCGGATTACTTTGACGCATTAAATTATTGCGAAACTTGTTTTCATCTTTCTATAATTTATATATATATAATATATGTGTACATCTATAAATAATTTTCAACACGTAAGTAATTGTGCGTCAAAACGGACAAAAAGGAAGCGTATAAGCTTCGCGATTTGTTGTGACACAAAGTATACTTTATATTTTAAATACATCACGCTTAAATTGACCGCCGGATTAATATGACACTGATTTAATTATGCGCTTTCACGCGCTTAATTTACATATTTATACGATTGGGTTTATCTGTCCCATTTTATATTGAATAAAATATTAAATATGATGTTACTGAATTGAAGCTGGATGAATTAATAACAAAAAAAAATTGAATTTCTTTCTCTTTCTCTCCCGCATGGATAAAACGATATTACGACTTGCAATCCAAAAGAAATGAACGGCACACACGTCGTCTCGCGGACACTTAGCAGAATTACGCCAAATACTAGAAACTGTATGACTCATCCCTAGTTACGTGCCTCATTGCTATCTATAAATCTACGCGAAGGCACGCCTATTGCACGCTATTTCGTCATTCTGAATCACAGGGGCCCCTCGGCGCGCATCGCGCGAATTTTACGAATCATTGCATGTCGCGAATAACGAATAGAACGAAATCCTCCATCTCATACCGGTTTAAATAATTCGTACAATGATATATATAAGCGCGTTCCCTTTCCCTTTCACGAAGTTGGAGGAGAATTATGCTGCGAGATGCGCCGTTTGCTCCTAAGAACAATGGCCTCGAGAGGACAAAGTGACTGGAACAAAACGCAACGTAACGAGATACGCCGCGGAATATTTCGAGGTGATACAATTCGTTACCGAAGCATCCCGCGGCATTCTCACAGCGAGATCGTATTGTGCGGCTCAAAAGTAGAGAGAGAGATAGAGAGACGGTGGAGGCGATTAGATCACAAGACAAGTTCACGATGTGTCGCGACACGGGAGGCAGGGACGAGGCGAGAAACTCGCCCGTAGGTAGAGCTTTCTAGTATTTAGGCACCCTAAATATAGCACGGACTCGGCTATAAATCCCCAGGCCCCCGGTCTCTCTCTCGCGGCCGTTGCGACGTTTCTTTCGGGATGAACGTGTTGCTCGGCGACGAAGGTTGTTTTGGGCATCTGCTGCGGCAACGGATGTGCTTGAAGACGTGAAGCGTTGAATTTCTTCGCGACACTTTCAATGATTTTTCCGAGGTGGCAAACGCAAAACAAGAAGTCAGAGTTTAATGATACTAATAATAAAAAAAGTGTGCAAATTAGAAGCTGCACATTGCTTTCTCAATTTTTTCGCTTATAAAGTTTCCTCTATAGGGAATTAGCAAAATTATTAGCATATAATAAATTGGCTTCCTCATAGAGGAAGCCATTTATTTTTATTTTTATATAATCTTCACAGAAAATAAACAATAAATAAAGAAACTTAATTTGAATGAAAATTTGACATTTTCTCAACATATCGTTGTTTAATATATTGAGATTAATTTATTATAGTTGGAAAACTCCACTTAGGATATAAAAAAATATTTATAGAAATTTGGAAATACATTTAAAAAAATTTCAATTCAAAATTGAATAAAAAATGAACCCATTTCATCAATTCTCATTAAAATCAAAACCAATCATTCTTCAATGATACACTGTTCATTAAAAAAAATTTAGCCCGATATCTCAAAATTTTCGAAAGTTAGAACTTCCACGGACATTTTTTGAAAAATTAAAACTGCCTTAAAATCTAAAACACTGTATGAATTTTTATTAAAAAATACCTATAATACACTGCTCAAAAGTATTTGCCACCTTAATGAAATTTGATCAGAGATGAGTTTATTAATGCAATTTTAATGAAAAGGTCAATAATTTGCTACATGTCTTTATTGTGTAAGTAGTTTACATGTTATTTAAACAATGTTAAACAATGATTTTACAAGAAAATAACATTGTTTTCAATTTTCGCCTCATCAATGGCCGTCACGTTTTTTTTTAATTACGGATTTACACAGTTTTGACATCCTGTTGATTAATTTTGTAATCGATTTTTGGCTTCTAAATACATCAACGTGACGATCTCGGAAAATATATTTATTATTTGAGATTTTCCGTGCGCAAAATAATTGCATGAAATTAGGATGTAAGGGATACCAACATAACATTAGTTTTGTATATAAAATAAGCTAACAATGAGTACGTGTAACGATAATCTCCACTTTAAATTAAATTTACTGCGTACAATCAAAATTTTTTTTCTATTTTTTTCTGCAAGTGGCAAATACTTTCGAGCGGTAGTGTATGTATCAATATAACAAAATATTGTTTTAATAAAATAAACGTTGATAAAATAAATAAGAGTCTAGCTGTAATGCGCGTGACTCATTTTGTCAAATAATAAAGAGTGCATCAAAATAAAATAATAAACAATTGTATATACTACATTAAAATAAAATATTTTAATAGAGAAAATTAAAATAAACATACCCATATTTTTATACCCGTAAATAAAACGTATTTATTACATTTACATATTTTTAATTGTATAAATTTGTGTAAATTTCTTCCAATTAAATATACGTTGTTATTTTTTGACTCTTGCGCTAACGTTTATCCAGCAAAACGCTGCTTTGAAAATTTGTCGTTTACAGGGACTTTAGACAAACATTTTCACGTGGTCACGTTCATCTCGAAAGAGAGATGGCCCGTCTATTCCAGAATTATCCTATCAGTCGAGGCTCGGCTTCAAAGGACCATCGTGCTTTTGGGTTAGCGGTGCGGTCGGTAGAGAGTCGCGGATTTACGGGACGGGTCGGCCGAATCAATCATGTCGACTCTTAAACACGCGGGTTTTGCGAGCTTTTCGCGGCAAGAAAACTGCTCGAAAAGCCGAACGCGCGCTCGTTAAATCGCGAAGAATTGTCCGCGGCAACGGCGGCGGTCCTCTCCACGAGCGATTTATTGTGCGCGATAGCGGGATTACGGGGGTTGGCGAAAGCATCGACCGTTCGTATCGTCGCACGAACGTTACAATAGTATAATCTATTGATTTCTATCGCGAGTAATTGTCGTGTTACCGCGCGCGATTTACGTCCAATTTACGTGGGGATTTATCGTTTCCGGTGCGGAAACTTGAAAAGGGTGGAATAAATGTGCCTTTAGATAATGTGTCCAATTTTTTACCGCAATCATGTTTGCTTAATGCGACTGTCTTATTTCCCGCACGCGTCGCGTCGTATAATCAGTAAAACAGGCATATCGCGAGAGAGTTAAGGAGAATTTACGATTTAATCGTGATCCAAAGAATGGAAATAAATCAATTGTCGCCGAGAGGTACGAAATATCTCCGACGTAAAGAATGAGAGAGCGGAATGAAATAATCTTTCTATTGTTTGAAAATATGAAAACCGAAGGTATATGTAGCCGCGCGAATCTCTCTCGCAGGCGAATTAATCTTATTATTCCATTAGAGGCGCTAACAAATTTTCGGCCGCTCCCAACGTTTCTCTCGCAATCGAGAGAAATAAATGACCAGATTTTCTGCGGAGAATGCGCCCGCGGCTGATAGGTAGCGGCCCCGGGATCGGTAGGAAGGCTGCGCCCGAAATAATCGAGTTCTTTTCATTCGGCAACCCGGTTATCTTTTTATTGCACTCACGGCGCAATCGAAAGCCCGCGCGCGCCGCCTGCTATGCATCTACCCTTCTCGGATCGGGGGCGAGAGCTGCACGACCCCCGACGCATTGTACGCGTCGTTACCGCCGGCGGATTTGTACCGTCAAAGGTATAATTGCGTCGTTTGAGAGTAGCAGATTCTCAAATTACTTGGGATGTTTCGCTTTTTTCCGATAGAGAATGCGTGGGACTGCCAACTTTGCGTGTCTGCTGGGTTTCCTGTTTTTTTTTTCTCTTTTTTTCATATAATATCTAATTTATTTTGTTCTTCACACGCATTACGTCTAGAATCCTAATCTTACCTTATTGCAACATATTAAAACCGTGATAATTATAATTATCATATAAATTATATCATGTAAAATTCATATAATATAAATATAAACAATTTCGTAACTTGCCAGTGATGAATAACAATGTATTTCAATTTTTTCGACTTAACTGGCAAACGGGTTTCGTACAATCACGACGTCGTCGGCCACCAGTCGGTCGATCGCTTCCTTACGAACAGCATGTCACTCTCGGCTTTTATAAATGACTATTGTACATCTCATTATTGGACACACAAGACATCTTTTATGATCTTTCTGGAATAACTTCATATATTACGGATGTCTTGTGATGTCAACCGACGAGTCTTACAGATGATATAGTTTTTCACTTGATAAACCAAAGGCCGAAACGTCGTGATTGTACAAAACCCGTTTGCCAGTTAAGTCGAAAAAATTGAAATACATTCATATAATATCATATAAATTATACGATATTTTATGATATTATATAATATCAATAATACACTATAATTTATTATATAATATAATATAATATAATATAAATTATTATATAAAAATCATATAATGATAATTATTACCCGATTTATAAAATAATACAAAATAATAAAGTGGCTCGCAAAACTCGTCCTCCTCCACTTACACTCAAATGCTAAAATTATTGCAACGCGAACGCAAAACTAAATGTTATATCTTTGAAAGTATTGATATTTACGCGTGCGTTTCGGGAATGCTTTCATGAGAGTGCACATGGCGCTTGTGAATGCACCGCGGTGTTAGTTCATGAATAATTACAATTTATAGGATACTCACGATGCACTCGCGGTCGACCAGTTACGGTGTCTCTCTTTCTCTCTTTCCCTCTTCCTCTTTATCGTCCCCTTTCATGAACCCCGACCTTTTGTCGCAGGTCACGGAGGGAGCTTCGTAACAGCCCAGTGCCGTAGCATGCCGGCGAGCTGCAGCAGCGCGTGGTGGTGCGCCTCTGAGACACCGCGTCGATCGGCGTCGATCGCCGCCATCTGCGTGGCTAGGCACCAACGATCCCTGGAGCGTCGTCGCCGGAGAAGAAGAAGAGCAACAACGTGTGATTGTCGTCGTAGCACAGGAAGCACGGAGCTCGACACCAGCGACCGATGAGCGCGGGGGGGGATGGGGGCTCGGCGTTGGGCCCGCCTGATCAGCTGCCAGGGGCCCAGCCGATTGCCGCGACCCCCTACATCGCGATCCCCCCCAACGCCGGCCAGCAGCTTGACGTCGGTGGCGCGATGGACGCGACGCAGCTGGCGAATATGCAGCAGCCGCCGCCGTCGCAGACGGGCCCCGGAGCCGCCGGCGGCGCCGCCTCCAAGTCGGCCCAACAGAAGAGGCCCGTCAGACGGGGGGGTAAGCCGCCCCCCGACAGACCGGTACGGGCGCTCTTCTGCCTGGCCCTCACGAACCCTCTTAGGAAGATGTGCATCAGCGTCGTCGAGTGGAAGTATCCTTTTACTATTGCTCTCTCGCACGCTTCTTTCGTAATTAGCGCGATAATTGCCGGCCTCTTGATGCCGGCGCGGCGCGGCAGGAGAATTAAATATCAAAGTTCAGAGATCGCGTCCGATATCAGCGATATTTGCGAGAACACTGCTGACATTAATAACGCGTTTGACATTAAACCGCCTCCTCTCCAGATTGACCCTAATTCCATGTTCGGGCGCGATGTTGATATTAGAGTCAATATTGGCGATAATCTGTGACAAAAGGGTTAACGCACGCGAATAATCGCTCTATGTATTTTCCTTAATCGGCTCGATTTTATCAACGTCATCCCGCAGACCCTTCGAATGGCTCATCCTTATGACGATATTTGCGAACTGCGTCGCTCTGGCCGTTTACACGCCGTATCCTTATGGCGATTCCAATCTGACCAACCAATACTTGGTGAGTATTTAACACGAGTATATTTAGCATTTGTGCATAATTATCACTCTCGTTTTTAACCCTCCACGTTTTTTTGCACCCTCGGAGTGTATACGTCTGTCACGTTTAATGCTATTATTCCCTACTTTAAAGTATTTAACCCTAGAGAGTCTTTCTGGGGTGATATGTCACCCCACGCGAAATTTAAATTGTGCCCCTGCCTTAGGAAGGTTAGTTTTCATACCGAGACCCTAACCATAATTTAGGTTAGTCATCCGGCAGTCGACCTCCGTCATTCAGCAAGTGCGTTAGATTCGTGCAGCAGCTGAAAACCGAAAAAGAAAATCGTTTGGGGTGACGTAGTACCCCCTTTGGCCATTTACGTTCGACTTTTACCAGATTAAAGTATATTTCAGATTTTTTATGAAAATCGATAATGAAAAATTATGCACTTTATAGCACTCCCCGGAAAATTCTACCCCTGTTTCATATATAATTCTTTAAGATTCGGTCAATTATTTCATTTTTGCTGTTCTTGCACAGCAACTGATTAAAACTTTGTAAAGTTTTTGTGGAGTTAATTTTACTGTTTCCATATACTTTTATAACTTTTGACTACCTTTCAAATAAATAATAATCGACAGAATCTGTTTTATATTTCACTTTTTGCGATTTTTCCCATTCGACAGTTTTTCATCATTTCCTCTACTTCAGACGTTCAAAGAAATATGTTTTTTTTAAGAAACGAAAAAATCGCTTACATGCCCTTGAAGGTTGTCTATTCGTCTTTCAAAATCCGTTGGAATTTTTAAAATCGGTGAATTTTATGAAAAACTACAGCATTTTTTATAAAAATAGTCATTTTAGCCCAATTTTTGGTTCTTTTTTTGTTTTTCGAAATTTTTTTACTGTTTTTTTTTTACTACCGCAAATTGATGACTACTATCGTCTTCCCTATTAAAAAACAAACAAAATTATATATTATAAAGTTGTCTAACAACAAATAGAAACATTATACACGCGGTACAAGTTTGGGGTGTTTTTATACCCCGCTTGGCCTTTCACGTATGAGAAAATTCATAAAGACTCTCTAGGGTTAAAAAAATCTGAAAAAATTCACAAAACATCTGTCTTAGTTGACGTTTTTATAGTCATTTTGATAAACATTATTTACTTAATATTTTTTGGCAGGCTTGCAAGTTTTACGAGCAGATATTACTTTGGCTCGGACGCCATAGACCCACGTACACAGTCAGAGGGTTAAGAACGGTTAATATCTCGGGTGTTTAAATGCCTAAATAAAATTATATCATTTTTTTTCCAGCAAACATAACAAAAAAAAAGTTCCCTTCCTTAATGAAAACCAATTCGATAATGTCCATGTATTGTGCATCGTTTTAACGTGCGTCTATACGCGCAAAAATAGAAATCTTGAAAAGGACTAAAAATAATCGCAAGCGAATAGCAATCATCTCGTTATAAATGGCGCCGCCGGGAATTCCTTTGTGCGACTTGGCCGAATGTGAAATAAAGCAATTTTACTGATTGTATAATATGTACGTATATGTATATGCGCGCGCGTATATATGTGTCTAAATCGAAGGGTGCCTCTTGCAACAATAAGAGTGGCGGTTCCGTTCAACGAACCACACGAACCTCTATCGAGTTATCGATTCCGAGACGGCATGCAGGGTTGCTGGCATGAAACTTATTCGAGCTGAAAGTTCAATAATTGTTCAATCTTGCTCAACATCGGCGTGTATGCTGCCCCGGCGCGGAGCGCCATAATCGGAAAACACAATTCACATATAGGCCGCTTTAGCGCGAGAATTAATTGAGATTACTCCCCTCGGGCACCTCAAAAGCTCGACATTTCTAATTACCGATATTCGGGAACTGTTCGGAGCTCGTCCGCTGATAAGACTCGTGGAGATTCGCGGTTTGCGACAGAAACTTTATACATGTGGGGATTTGCCCACTCGCCCGTGCGCACAGAGAGGCTGCTCGATAACAACTCGAAATTCGGTTTTGCGTCATATTATGCGCGTGCTAAAGTGGAATCGCGCCGCGCCGTTGTCGTGCCTTGCCAAAGGGTGTGACTTCGTTTTGCGTCACTCAAAGGGCATCCCCCTTGCGCTAATTAGTACCGGGAGGAAACTTTGGAGAGATTAGGCCAATGGGAAATTCGCGGAAAGCCTGTGTAAACTGCCTGTGCAAGCTGCCAAGTCATCTGTGACAGCTTGACGTTCGTTAATTATAATTAACGAACGGAAAAATATCAATTTGTACAAGCTCGTTAATTTAGCTTTAAAGAAAGCTTCGATCGAGATTGAGAATAAATATACTTTCAAAATAGCCAAGTGAAAGACATAAAAAACTGTTTCGAAGTTAGAGAGAATCCACAACAAAATCGGGATGTTGTGAAATTAATGAAAATTACACAATCTTACTAGTAATTTTGCAAAACCTTAGATTCTGTCAGTGAAATTCTCAGTTGAAATTTTTATTAATTTATATTTATAAATATGTTATATAAATTATGTTTATAAATATAAATATAAATATAAATATATAATATTTATATTTGTAAATTATATATAGTTATAGTAATAATTTTTATTTATTTCACAAAAACACGGTTTTTTAGATTCTCTAGGGATTTTGCCCTCACCTCCCCCCCCCAAAAACGAATTACACGAAAACCCTGCGACATGTATACATTTGACTTTGATACGTCAGTTGGCATATTGCGTGCAAAATATGACATTCAAATTCTTAATAATTAAATAGCAAATGTCTTTTTCAAGAATTTTTTTGTAGTCAACTATTTACCGTATTGAAGTCTTGTAGAATTGTATTCTATTAATCTATTTTTTTTCACATTGTATGCATTTTCTATACGATGTCACTTTCTTAGCGTCCCCGGAGAAATGGGGGGACGGCGAACAACGCTCGGGAGAAGATTCGAATTCGCAACTCCACAGTCACAAACTCCAAAAAGTCGCAAATCTTGAGATCAATCTCGACTTCTTTCAAAACTTTTTCATTGTTCGCCCGACTCAATCGAGGTAAAACTCCGGCATCGGAGTTCGATATCTTTTATCGCCGCAAGATTATGAAACTATATTAGAAATTCGCAATATTTGTAGCTCCCGAGCGCGAGCGTGGTGAACATTTTCATGAATATCTATTATTTTTTTTAAGTATAATAGAGAAAAATCTAACTTTGTAATTTGGTCCGCGTTAAAATTCACATGCTGAGTTTAAAAATGCAAAATAGCATTCAGCATTTCGGCTAGGAAATCCTATGTCAATTACTTGCCATGACTACTGCACTATATTAGATAGATTAAATCTACTATATCTTTAGAAAATAGGAGACTATCCTTTGACCTTACATTTGTTTTTAAGCTTTTCAACCACTTTACTGATTGTCCGGATTTGTTGGAACGTTTCTGTTTTAACATCCCGACTAGAGAATTAAGACAGTACTCCATCTTCCATAACGGGTATCACAGTACTTTGTATAGCGCAAATTCTTGTGTAAATAGGCTGATAACATCTGCAAGTAATTTCCCCAATAGGGTTGACTTTCTTGGTGGCTCTGCATCAACTTTTAAACGAAATCTTTCTCGTCTACTCTCGTAACTTAAATGCTCTTCATACTATGTTGTAAAATTTTATTGCTCTTGTACGCTAAAGGGTTTATTACCCGTTAATAAAGTTTATTTATTTATTTATTTATTTATTTATTTCTTGGAAACATTACTTTTTAATTATAATAATTTTTATAAAACAAGCAATTTCGATCGATTGTAATATTTGATTATAAAATAGTTACAATTAAAAGGTTATAAAGTGCCGAAAGTTTCTCTGTCTCTGTCTCTCTCTCTCTCTCTCTCTCTCTCTCTTTCTTCCTCTCTTTCTCCGAAAATATTAACTGTATGTAGAGTAGCGAAATGATACGGGGCAAATCGAACAGTTTAATCTCTTACGGGCAATAAAATATTCGTTAGTTGAACGCGATCTGGCATTTAACATCAGCAGCGACGGATTTATTATTCGGCAAGGTACACTTGCGTAATATCTACCTTCCTGGCCTTGCCACCTGCTCTTCTCATATTTCGCTTATATGACGGGCATGTGTATTAACCCTTGTGTGACCAGGTAGAAAATTGCACGCGGTGCAGATATACTACAACGCATTTTCTAATGAAAATACTGTCGTAATAACGGAATGTGTACGGAAGCATGATTTGAAGAAGAGATAATTAATTAAAGGGGTTTAATTTATGTTTATGGAAACGGACTTTAGAGAATAAAGCTGATGAATGACAGATGAAAAATATAGCCGCATTAATTCTGTTTTCTTTCATTTCTTTTTCAAATAAAGTTATTTAATCATATAATTGCGATGAGTTTTTTTTTACATTCATTAAGTTTAGAATTCAATAAAATAGCGAATGGCGTGTAGTTCCAGTGAAAAAACTTTCCAGTGAAAAAACGTTACGCAGTAAACACTTGAAATTCGGGCACAAAAGCAAAGGTATTTCGAGTTCGTCCAAATGACAGTGTTAGATATTATTTATGCTCCCAAAAGGATAATAAATTCGCAAGTGGAATAAGTAATAAAGCATACGAGAAGACAACGCGACCGCCATCAAAACTTTCTCGGGAAGAAGGGCTCCTCATATTCTACTTATATTCTACTTCGCGTCTTCAAAGTGATGTAACGGCTAACGGCGCCCACGTGTCACGCATGGGCGAGCAACACGGGCGGCCGGCGATATAATGCGCGCTCGAGCCTATTTCAGCGGGCCAATAATCGATCGATTTCGGAAATTAAACGTAATGGATGCTGCGCAGGAAAAGGAGAGAAAGGGGGAGGGGAGAGAGAGAGAGAGAGAGAGAGAGAGAGAGA